TCCTGTGGCTCTCCAAACCCACAGATGTGTTTTGCAAGGAGCCCAGCCCTACTGCCGTACAAACGGTTCTCTCCAAAAGCATCTATCAGATCAGGCCCTTAGCCAAAACATTTCATTACTCAGTTTCTCGATCCCAGGGGGGATTAGCTGGGAGCAAGGCTGCTTAGATTACAATACGCCAGGCAGCCACATGAGCCAAACTGGAGGCAACTGAAAAGCTTCCAAGTTCATCAAGAAGACGCACAGCAAACCAAGGTACCTCCAGTTTCAGGCATCAGTGGAGCAAGATGCTTAGGGGATTACAGTTTTAGCCCTGGCAGAATTTAGGTGCTTAAATCCTCCTTTCTTTGCCAAATTTTAAGTCCAGCCTATGCCCTTCTGAAATGAAGAGCTTACAAAAGACACGGAGGAAGAAGAATTCAGCTGCTACTGTCCGAAACACCTTTTCTCCTTCCCCACTCACCCAAAAGACAGAGACTCAGAAAAGAAAAAAAAAAAAAGTCCTTATTAGGATTAAAAAGAAAAAGCTAGAGTTATAACCAAACACGTAGAATTGTTGAAAGAGCAAAAGCAAAGATGAATTTTGCACTTATCAAAGCAGAGGCCTCAGAACAGCACTGGCTGGAAGAGCCAGGGACACTGTAGACAGGCTCCATGCAAACTCATTTTGCAAGCTGTGACAGCAAGCTGCCATCCTGATTTGCAGCAAACTCCGGCCTGAGCTGCACAGCAGTTGTGTGCCCAGGTCAAATCCTTGATAAGAACAGCAGCAAACTGAAGCTGGGCAACCTATCTGCTGCTCCTCCAAACATCTCTTTTGTCACCAAAAGCCAGTACACACGCTCGCTCCACCATTCACACTGAGAAGGGGAATTTATCATAAGCAAATTAATTTATTTTTGATCTTGTAGTTAACTGAAATGAGTGAAATTAGTAGTTACATTGCATAGGGGCGAATTGTTCATTCTGCCAGGAGCATATATCCAGGTATTCAGAAGTGTACTGTGTTGGAATATACTTCCACAGAAGCAGTCGGTAGGGGATGACGAACACCCGCTTTCTAGATCTGAACCCGCTCCCAAGTTTACAGGTTTCTAAACCTGGGCAATGCTTAAAATAAAAAATAAAAAAAAAATTAAAAAGGTTGAGTTTTTGAGGGAATATAAACTTGGAACTATGACTTCCAGCTGATCATAGTCTGTCTTCAAACAAAAAAAATGAACCTACTTTGAAATTATACCAGATAAAACTGATTTCAAGATTCTTCTTGAAATGTGTTATGAGTCAGGATCATTTAATTTTTGATGACTGAGTCTCAGCTTGCAGTTGAAATAAGCCATGGATACTGGATGTTTCATCTCCCTTTCCTCCGCCCGCTGAAACGTTACATACTGAACTGGCAATGCTGAAATGAAACAAAGGAGATTCTAAAAGCTCAGTGTTGCTTTTGTTTTTATGACACAAAAACCCAACACGGGATTAGGAAGCAGACAGCCCAGGCCGTCATTTCCTCCGTGTGCACCCAGACTTCCACACTGGCAGATTCAAGGGAGAGATTTAATCAACAGGCAGACAGGTCATCTGACAACAAATATTTTCAATTAATCTGGAAAAAGGCACTGTACACTGTATATCCAACACCTCTAAAGCTCTTTACTGTGATGTTTTCTTGCTTATTGGCAAAGGAAATTTAAGCCACCCACTGCCAGGGAGGCTGCATGTTTCCATACAGATACAAATCGCTTGGCTTTCACACCACTTTCGGGACACATCATTCATTCTTTTCCTACATGTCTCTCTCCCCTACCATTCAGCAGAGCCCACCCAGTGCTGAAAATCCAGCTGCTGCTCAGTGCTTTTCAACACTCCATCTCCAGGTGCTCTAATAACCAGGCCAGTGTCATTGCCCACAACTTGTGGCTAGAAAAACGGAGTCGGCAGGGCACCGTGACCCAGCGACGCTCATCTTCATGCAGAAAACTGCTAGTGTTTGTTTAAAAATGTGGCATCAGTCCAGTTGATAAATTTACTGTATAAATGTGTTTTAAGGACAAGTAGCAACATCCACAGTTCCAAATTCATGAATCTGTTCTTCCTATTTTGCACTTACCAAGAAAGATCCAGATTTATCCCTTAGGTATGGGAAACAAATGGGAAGTCTGCATTCAGTTTTAATACATGAAAATGAATCCTTCAGTGCTTTCTGCCACTGTTCTTCATTATATACTTACAAAGAACTTTTCAGATAAGTTGTATTGAGTCTGAAAATAAACATACCACCCTGGAATTATCTTTATACCTACCATAGGATGCTACAGAAGTGGGCACAACATCAAGGCCAAAAGTTCAAGAGACTGACATAGCATTGCATGTGCATCAGGAGTAAGTATCACCCGCTGTTCCCTTTCCATCTGGAAGTATTTTAATGCCCTGAGTCATTAATCAGGGCCACCTCCTGCCACAAGCTGCACTCCCTCCACAGCTCCTCCAGCACAATGACTTCTTAACGTGCAAATCCGATCTGAGCACTCCCTGTCTCCGACAATCTGTTTTAGACACCCTCTCGGTGAAGGAACAACAGAGCAGGATTATTTCATAAAGCACCCTTCCCTCGAAGCCAGCTGCTCAGCAAGGCACTGCTGCTCCCTCTTGCACTCTACCCTGCTGTACCCCTCCGTCAGCCCCGTCCTGCCATCTTTGCAACATCTGGGAAGAGGGACCAGCTCTTCTCCTTTCCTCTCACTCTTATGATTATGCATACGAGAGTAACATTACGACTCATCTTTTACATGTGGATATCTAAAAGCATGTGAGGCAACAAAAACTGTGGGAATTTCCTTCTTGCGTCTATCCAGAGTCAAAAAATTGAGTTTCTGGGATGGTGCAGAGCCCATCTTTGAATATACTTATTTCATTAGCAGGATAAACTTACATTACTAGCCTGACCTGTAATTAACCTAGCAGATACTGTCTGTATTTTTATTAACGCTTTGTTGAGACAATTGTTAGAGGCTCAGAAGAAAGATTAAAGAAGATGGCCCTGGGTTATTTAAATCCTCTACGGAGGGAAACGCACCAGAAGCCCTGTCAACCATTTTGTTCCCAGTATCACTCAACTTCTCCTTCTGCTGCTGTTCTGTAGAAGAAACATGAACTGGGACTGTTTGCGGTGCCTTTTGCATCTGGGTCACCACGCTCTTCAGGCTGCCCCTGCGCATCCCTCCTGACAGCACTAAAAAGCACCGAAGGATTTTTGTTTCAGGAGACAGGCACAAACTTCTCAATTTTACTATTGCTGTCGAGATACAGGTGAAAAAAAAATGTCACCCTTTTGTTTCATAGCCTGTACCCTACATCATGCCCTAACCACATTCCTCCGTTTTTGGCAACAACGCTCAGTTGACAAATGCTGTATTTTACACAGAGACAGTCCTCAGACACAGTACGTTTGAGGTTTTTTTTTTCTCTTCATGAGTAAGTCCAATGGGGTTTTCCAGTCTTTCAAGATGCACTTACTGCTCTATTGATTGTTTTCATGTTTCTTTCAAAATTTCACAAGGACATACCGAAAAATAATCCTATTAAATGTACTGAAGCTCTCACATACTTCATTTTTTATTATAAAAGCTGCCTTCTCAGCTGAAGCCTGCTGGACAGAGAAGAATTAAGAAACTATTTTAATGTAGGCTCTGGCTGTGTTCCTAAATTCTAAAAGTGCCTATACATAAAAACAAAATTAAATTAAACCCTCTATTTCCCAGTACATAAAAAAATTAAATCTTACAGTAAAATTGGTTCTTTCTGTTCATTTAATTAAATTAGAAAACATTAAGTTTTAAATGTCTACATCTTGATACGAGAACAACAAAACCAACCAAACGCAGAATAGGTTTTAACTTCTATCAGTTATATTTTCCTTACCGATTTGTTACCTTCATCTACTCATTTCATTAACTCAGGCATTAGCATTTGGCTGTGAATCAGATGCGCATGTTTTAACTGACTGTTGTGAAATTACTCATATGCTGCTTGCATAAGTAAACTTGTGTGAAACAGCCTGAGTGAGGACAACGATGAGAGATGTTTTCCCCCTGCCTCCTCACCGGTAAAAAAGGCATGGCAAGAAGGGACACGTTTGCATAGACTTTCTACATTACAATAAAGATCATTATCAATCTTTCACCATCTGAATTTGAACAAAAACTAGCCCTGTCACTAATATGAAAGAAGGCTTCACAGCTGACAGTGGGGGAAAACGCTACCTTTTCACTTGGTATTAGGAAGGAAGAAGTGGTTTAGAGTAGCTTCACTTTTATCAGAAAGAAGGGTGGGGTGAAAGCAAAAGACAGAAAAAGGTTTATGATTTGTTTGTTGAGAAAACAGCGTTGCAAACCTTGAGCAATGTCTGACCTGAAGATAAAAATCATACCGCAATCCTCCCTGTGCGCCACAGGAGCGTTACAGGAGGAGAACTGGAGAAAATGTTCTTATTTCAAATGAATTCTCCTCTGGAGTCAAGGTAAGCCCGTTATGTACTAGAATGCTTGGCCCAGCTTTTTTCCTTAACGAGTTGGTATGGAGCGATTGCTCATAATACTCGTTAGTCATTCCAGTGCTGGGTGGCATCCTAAGTACGGCACTGCGCGAGACTTCCACTTGTTAGCTTGTGTGCCCAAAACGCAAGGAGAAGAATACAGATCTGCAAAGATGAAGTCATTCGAAGGAAATAAAGCACCTTATAAAATTTACAAAAGGCTGTCAGAATGAAGTACTAACACAGAAAGTCCAAGAAAAATAAAAATTCTCACAGAGTAAGATTTCATAATTAAAGTTTTTTTTATTTCTTTACTTTTTCCTTAATACAAAGCTTTGGCATCAGCAAATTTTATGAAAAAATAGAATGTACTAAGTAATTGCTTGTGCTGCATGATCGATAAATGATGCATAAAAATAGGTGTCTCTCTCCAAGGCAATCGGCCGGAAAGCGTTTCTTCAATACCATTCTGCTCTGTGGGGAAAAAAAAAAAAAAGGAACAAAATATTTATATTAAATTTAATACTGCCAATACTAAAAAATAAAAATCCTGTAAAAGTTAGTGAGAAATGACTAATCATACAAGGCCAGAGCATTACAAGAGGTCTGTACTCCTTACATCATTCTTACAGGACCAGTTAAACAGAAAGGACAGCCAAAGGTTTGAGCACTTCCAAACTTTTGAGGAAACTCCATCTGCTACTGAAAACTTTCTCTAAGTGGTGGTGTCTGACATCTGGGCTTTTTTGGACTTTAAAACACAGTCATACAGTAATTTCTGACCTTCCCTAAGAAGCAAAGCAAAATGTGCTTCTTTTGTTCCTTTCAATCACTACCGAAACCATTTAATAGTAATAGTGCATGAATATTATGAGACCAAGAAAAAGCAGCTGGTTCCTTATTTTCTTATCACTTAGACAATGTTTACTTTTATCAGAAACTATTTAAAAATGCATACGTGTGTGCATATATACATATGCACAAACATATATATACACACAGTTACATATGTATATACACACAACTCCAGAACTATTGCTCTCCATAAATATGTTTAAGTTGCAGGAAGAACATAGAAAACAAAAGGATCAGAACACGTTTTTAGGTGAGTTTTAATCCAGAATATTTGGCACCTTTTACTTCCATCAGCGTATTACATGGCCTCATTCTTGCTACTGTTGTTTTCTGATAAGAAAAAACCCTCAGCTTCCTCTTGAAACAGTACCATAACAAACGTAGGGTATGCCAGCATTGCTTTTTATATGGAGAACAGCATAAAAAGCAGGTATGCTGTTATGACATTTAATGGAAACTGCAGTGAGAGGGACCTGACGTATATTTGGCATGATATTCAGCACAGGAAATGCTCTGTCTGGCACTGGGGAATGTTAAGTGTCAATGAAACAATAAATCTAAGCATTAGTGTCATACATACACATTTTAAACTGTCTAAAATGAGTAGTCAAACCTAGCAGCACTTGTGGAGGCTGCTTAGATCCCAAAGGATTCAGCTGAAAAGCTGTTGAGGTTAAAGGCTACAGCTAGGTACCTCAGTTACCTAAATAAGTGATTTTTGACAGCTCTAGTTTCTGTGGTTGCTAGTTTTCTTAAGTCTGCCTCAAATCATACACGTGTATATGCTTGCATTTTCATTCCCGTCACTGGGGAAAGCAGCTCTCCTTACATCAGCACGCCCTTTGTTTGTGCTAAGGGAACATCACTGTGAAAACACTTCGCTGGAGGCCCTATCTCCCTGCCAATGTGAGGCAGCTTGCCCTTTCAGTAAACATAGACCCAGAGCCGACTGAGCAAAAGACAACAAGAGTTGCAAGGCAAGGCAGAAATGCAACTGCTATCAGTGCCCACATCTGGATGATACTACATGGGCTACAGTTCCTTTGTCTTCTTCCTAACGATGTGGAAATGCCCAGAAATCCAGACATTCCTGTTTCACAACTCATCTTGCTCCATGCTTTCCCAAGCTATTTTTCAGTGCAGAACTCTGTTCAGCTACAGCTATGTTACCAAGTTGCTGATTGATAGTTGCAATGTCAAGATTTTGATAAATGGAAAAAAAAAATAATCAGGAGACTTGATAGGGCTATTGGAAGTTCTAAAACGTTTCTTCATTAAGCCCTTTTGGAATTAGCATCTGAAAAGAGGAGGAAAGGAAGATTTGCAAATTAATGGTAATCAAAGGTCCATGATGACCAAAACCTCTAGGAACTTATTACAGCACCTCCTGAAGAAGATTAGCTTGAGATGGTCTAAAATTTTACACTATAGACTATTAGACATGTTCCCATCTTATTGAGGAGGACAGCTTATACTTTCCAGACAGCAAGTAAAAAAAGCACTTTTATCTAAAAAAAAAAAAAAAACCAAACAAACCATGCTTATAAAGCTGCATTTCCAGGCTGCACAGGAGACTGCCTTTGAATCTCACCCCACTTTTGGTAAGAGATCAACACATTAATGGAAACTCAGCTGCATCAAGATGTTCAGAGACAAAAGAAAGATGTTGACATTTTTCCTCCCCAAATAAATAAATTATGATTAAATATATATTATGAGCCCAGACGTTCTGTACATCTAAATGAAAATAGCTAGATGTACCTAGTTAATATATCTGCGGAACAGATTTACACTTGCCCACACACAGAACTATAGAAAAAGACTGAAAGTCACGTGTTAAGAGTCATTTCTCGTCCAGCCTGTCTGAAGGGAGGCATTGGGGGTGTCTATAAAAATTAAGAAAGCGTGAATGTCTTTAAGCACTAATTTGACTGCAATTTTTAAGCATAGTAAAATGAGGGGTCGGAAGACTGGTCTGCTCTGTTCACTTGGGAGAAGAAACAGTAGTGTGTTCATTGCTTTCATCTCTCCCTCTCCTAAGAGCAAAAAGGTAGTTTCCTATTTAAATACCTTTTTTCATAGCTGAAAGTATGCCAACCAGGAATACAGATTTTTTTCTTTTAATATGAAATTTGACTATGAAATTGAGGTGAAAACTAACTGATGGTAGTACTTTTTGGCTCTGCCAGATGAATTTTGAACATGGGAATTTCATGGCAGAAATCTAATGTTTGCCTAGACTATTTACCAAAAACTGAATAGAAATATTCTCTCTTTTCCCCAATTCCACGTCTCCACTTAGCAAGGAGATTTCCTCGGACAATCCAGCTAAATATAAATTAAGAGGGTCTTTAGATGTTACCCTGGAACCTACTGTTAACAGAGGCTTACGTTTGAGAAAAGCAGAAAAGGCATTTGATTCTTTGAAAACTGCATTTTTACTCTTCTCTATTCTCTTAGTATTTGTTCCCAATGTTGTCCACGACACACACCCACCAGAAATATAAAGAAACATCTGAATATTTACTTACTCATTAGCATTCAAGCTAGCTGTGGCTTTGATGATCATGTAGCAGAGTGTAAGGGCACTGAGGAGGCCAAAACTGGCAATAATAAACCATTCTTCTGTTGACAAAGGAAAGGGAGGAAATCACTCGTGGGAGAAGGCTTATGTCAAAGCGATGCCAATATTTCCCTCAAACACCACTGGCGGAAGGCAAGAGGCTTCTAAGCCATGACTGGCACCAGGAGGTGAAGCAGAAGGAGGTTAGCCACAGAGTTACTGACTGGAGAAGGCTAGCAAAGAAGAAGTGGAGAGAGGTGTGGAAAAAAAGCATGGCACAACAATATTTCCTGGCTGAGCCCCAGGGTTAGTGATAAAGAAAGATTACTTAACAATGTAAAGTGAAATGCAGGAACAAGGGAAGATGTAATGAAAACTCTGTCCGCCCCCAAGTCAGAAAAGGTTGTCAGGGTTGATTTAGATTTGCTGAGATGCAGCTCTTGACATAAGCATACCCAGTATCCTTTCACACTTAATTTGTGTCTTTGCCCCCTCCCGCCTGAATAAATGCTATAGTGTTACTTTAAAAAAACGACAAAAAATAGGATAGCTTGTTCAAGAGTAAAAACATAACTAGAGTTTTCTATTTAATATAAAGGAATACAACATGGAAAAATAATTTCAACGTTAGTGTATACATACAGACACATTAAAAAAAAAGCAGTATAAAGAAAAAGTAGTATTAAAGAATGTTCATTATTCAAAGTTCTCCCTCCTCAAGATCAATCTGGCACATAGTAATAGATCGGAATACAAACACTTTTGTTGAATATGGCTTTTGGTTTAACTCTCATGCATCAAAGAATGTATGTGTCATCCATAAAATCCAAACATTTGAACAGCCTTTTCTAAAGCTTTATTTTATAAACATTGTCAGAATGAACTGTTGCCGATTATTTCTTGTTTTACCCTGGCATCCCATCTGTGCAAGAGCAGTACTACAGTTGGGAACAGACAGTAAAAATACTTTCTGTAAAACCAAGTAGTGAAAAGTTTCAGTTAAACTACTGAGTTTTCCCACCCATGACAAGAAAAGCAACACACCAACAGATTTGCTCTCTGTTCAATAGAGCTGAATACAAGATGAATCAGATGTCGAACACTGCATGACAAAGTGACTTACTGGCTTTGTAAAGAATCTAGATTTTTGTATGTAGATTTTTCCTCCTCAGATTAGGACATTCCTGGATACGGACTACGTGTTTCATGAGATGAGATTTTTTTAATGAGACATTTACTTTGCTACAGCATCTAAAGAAACACTCTAATGGACTGTATCAATTACAGACACATGTATCAGTGGCAAACAGTGTCACTAAGTTCAAAATCTAGATCATAGATGCACATAAGCAAAACACAAGGAGAAAATTAGACTACTGTATTGCATAGATTCTATTTTTGCAATTCAGCCAGAAAAACAACCATTCATGCATCAAATCGAGACTGTACAGCATATGGAAAAATGATGCAATTCCACACATACTGTATTCATTATAGTGCTGTTATACATTAAAAACCCCAGGTAAAATCCAGTGAGTGGAAATTTCCCTTGCTGTTCTTATGCATAAGAGCTTGCAAGCAGTGCAGGAACAGTTTTCTGATGTCATAAAACACTTGGACAATACTCAAATGTTGGCACATCAAATATTTTTTTTTAATTCACAAACTTTGTAAGAAAAACCATCTGCTAAGAGATGTCGGAATTCCAGTAGCAATGTTCTCAGGGGAAAAATGTCTGCAGAAGTAGTAATCAGCTAAAATATTTATATTTGTATAAATTATTGGATGTAAAGTATGCTGAAAGGGTAAATAATGGTTTTGGCAATCCAGCTTCTTGTACTGGTTACCAAATTCAGAAGGGTTATTCTGTTGCCATTTTAGTTCATCCAGTGATGAACTTGCATGCAGATCTAAATGGATATACCATTAATAATGAAAGTGTTGGCACCGTCGTACCTAGAGTTATCGGTTTCAATATGGAGCGTATGCCTCTTACAGAGACACTGAGGTCACCTTTGTCCCTGCAGGGAAACCTCTCACCACGGCCCTGCAGCACAGAGCTACAGCAAAGCAAGCGCCACGTACCAGGAAAACCATAGAACTCTACTGGTAGCCAAAGAAAACTTACTTGTCACAGCAATGTTGATCTCTCCTGACCTTGGCGTTAGCTCTCCGTCCTGTGGAAGCTGTGACATCCCAGAGGTGCGCAGGGGCTCCAGGCTGAGAGAGCCGTCATTGGCAAAATCGCCAAGTGCTGATCGCCTGCTAGCTGGCTGGCCTCTGGTAAGCCTTTCCATGTCAAAGGCTACATTATCTGTACATGGCACGTTTGGCTGGAAAAACAAGCGATTCCACATTACAACGGTGAATATTCTATGTGTAGCAAACCTATAAATTGAGTAAAACCACACACACACACTATTCAGCTGCTACGACTGTCCTCAGATCACACAGGAGAAACACACATGATTTAGCAAGTTCTATCTGAATTTGGTCCTTTGGTTCACCTTAAAGCGGTGGAGGAAAAAGCAGAAAAAAGCATTAAGATTCAAGAAAGGGACTCAAATATGCTTGTATCATAGCCTATGCCTGTATGGTTTACTACCACGAGCAATGATGACATGCATGAAATTCTACAGTATCGTGCTCTAAAAATCCATGTATGTTATTAATTGCAAAAATAGGTCATCCACAGCATATCCGTAACTATTTCTCAGAAATGTGCAAATTTGCAGCTGACACAGCTAAAAATGGAGGCCTGATTTTTCTCACTGGCTTGATTCAAAAGCTGCTTTAGACAGTATCTTCATATGCTCTTCTCTTTCTTCCTTATTTCTTTCTTCTGAAAAGAGCATTGCTCCCACCTTATAATCTTTTCCTCATATGGGAAAGATGGAAAAATCCTCTTTGAGGTTCTTCACTTCTATCCCTTTGTGAACTGGTCAACAAAAGCAGTCCTCAGGGATCCCATGAGCCATGCGCTGCTTGAGGAAAGCTCGCTGGCCTTGGCTAGGGCATGGCTTTTAATGTGTAAACAAATTTAAGAGTGTCTGCGGGAGACCACAACAAGAACAAGAGATTTACAGAGTAAATTTAACAAAGAAGGGTTGAAAGCAGTTGAGAAAAAGGAAGATTATAGAGAACCTAGTAGACTTTCAGTAGATAAGAAATTGTTATAAGTGGAAATACAACAATACATTACCAATGACCAACCAGGGAAAGGAACAACAACAAATCAGCTTTAGCAGCAGCAAAGAAATTGGTAAGAAAACCCAAACATTTTCTGACTAAGGGTACTGGAAAACCCTTCTCCCTTTCTCCCCTACAATTATTCCTCCTGTTCTGGGTCTCAGACATGGGAGGAAGAAGCTCACAACAGTGCAACTTACCACAATTCCCAGTGCCTTCAAAATGTTCAGTTTACACATCGGACACGTACAGTGCTCACTAAGCCATGGATCCACACAGGCTTTGTGGAAAACATGCCTAGAAGAACACACAAGGCACATATAATTTGCAAACAATTCTATTTTATACAATGAGAACTACTTTAACAAACTTTTAGACAGTTTCTTGTTTAATTAAGCCAGCAGAACAAATTCTAGAATTACCAGTATTGTGTGCTGATTGCAATAAGAAAAAAAATAAAAAACCTCTTGCTTGCTGTTGCCACTCTTTACTAATAGTTCAACTAGAAAGAAACACTTAAAAGGAAGGGTTTTTTTTACTTCCCCCCCTTATTGTTGATATGAGTATGCACATGGGCAAAATAACTAGGGTAACAAAGTCCCCCCCAAAACCTTGTGTAAAGTCTTGTCTCAATTTCTATGTAGAACCTGGCCATAACTTGGGTAGGAAGAGCACAGATCCATCAGCAGTCAATTTTATTGAAAAGTCAGTGCAACCAACCCAAACGCACTTCTGTTTGATTTTGAAAGGGCTTTTATAATTATCACATCTAAGTAAAAAGAAGGCTTTTCCTACAATCAGTATTTCTTGAAAACAGGAAGGAAAACATGTCTATCATCATATGATGGTCATAAAAAAAGAAGAATCTTTCAAAAATGAAAAGGCAAACTGGGCTTCTACTTGCATAGCAGGGAACTCTGCAATAGAGAACAGTCTGAATTGCCACCTACATTGCATACAAAATCTTAGTCACATACATGACTATAAATGTAACAGTGTTGGGATTGATATAAACAATATAACAAAAAAGGGCTATGCAGAGACCAAAACAACATATTTAAATTAAAAGAGTTAAAGGAAATGTCCTACTGGCTTTTCAAAAGGCAAAGAACTTTTCAGAGCATACTCATGGCAGAAATGGGTATCACTAGATGTTCTACACAATACAACTTTAGCAAATACTCATAATAACCTAGTCTGAATAACTGCCTACGGTAAGGACACAGATCTTTCATTTCCAGCGGTACTGCCTGCAGAGCAAAAAGCCAGTAAGAGCAGGCACACCCGAACATGACACACCGGTGACCACTACAAAGATCAGCAGTTACAAGGGCTGCTTAGCCAGCAAAGAGCTGTGCTCTGCAACCAGCAGGCGAAGGAGCAGTGGCAGAACAAGGAGCTCTTGCCGTCTATTTGAGGCATCAGCACGGGCTGTAAGAGGTCATGCATGTCCCCAAGGCAGCATGAAGTTGCGATACTCTCCGTCCTCTCCTTTCTCAGGTTGTACTTGTTGCTCTGTGCCTCAGTAAGCTCGTCATAGGGTTTGGGACTTCTTTGCTCCCTATCCCTTGGGATTTTAAAACCAGAGACCAAATGAGGCATGTTACCAGGTAATTCTCTTTTAAATGTCTGGAAAGTGACTGGAGAAAAAGGCCTCATGCATTTGTTAACAAACATGCATGGAAAAAGACAGTATATAATGGTTTTGTCTATGGCTACTAAGACTGATAGAGGGACTAAAGTACACCAACGTAATTAGGTTCCAGTCAGCTACAACTATATATCCCACCTGTACTAAAGATGCATAGACTTACAGGGTATAATATAGTCAACAGAAGATGGACAGGGAGCAAAAGAACTTTGCTTATCTATATCCCAGATATTGCAGGAACAGAAACTTACAGAATCTCAGCTAGTCGCTTTGCTGGACAGTCCTTTAGCAATATGGCAATCACGAAAAGCAGGATATATACATTGCTTACTGTTCAAATAACTGCACAAAATACAAACTCACTTCTGTCGTTATTAGCTCTTAACACATTCCCTTTATGACTCACAAAACTACAGGAATCAATGTTTAGAAATCCTGGGTGACAGAAAATGGTTTGAAATCTTCTGAAACAGAGAGATGCTATTTATCGTGGCTTTTAGTTGCTTATGTTTCCTTTTAAGACTCTGAAGTCTGTTTTTTAGAGTAGGACAAACCTGAAAATCTAATATTTTGGGAAACAGCAGACATCAAGACTCCACAGAAGTATGAAAACAACTTTAATATATCGTTATCAGCTAATCAGTGCTGTAGAAGCACTCGGATCAAGTGAAGCAGGCGACTGATATGGATGCCAACATGTGTCCGCTAAATATTATGAGTTATTTTAAAGAGTCATTAGCAGTTTGATATAGTTCAAATACGCCAGAACGGCTCAACTATTTTTGTGACCTCTTAATTCTTTGCTTTTCCTTCCTAAACCTTCAAGGATGTTTATTAATGTGTTTCAAAAAAAGTGTAGTTCCCCAAAGGTTATTTATTGATTTAGATCAGCATGGCTCTGCCTACTACTTAGGCAGTTTATCTACTCCTTAAAAAGCTTGCTGATACCATCACCGTGGCTCAGACTCTGTCTGGATTTCTCTGCTTCCAAGAGTTATAAAGCAGTTATACAGCAATGAAGATAGTAAACATATGAATTATTTTAAAAACTCAGTCTGCCAAAGTAAGCTCTTGCATTTTCTTCTATCACAAACCCTCTCCATCTCCATATTTCTGCCACTTGTTTCCCAAGACCATAAATCTGAAGATTTCCTAGCGAGTTGCTCTAGGTCACAGCAGCTGACGACGTTCCCCCAGGAGCCACGCACCGGGGAGTCAAGTGTGACACAGCTTTTGCTGCCTCTCCAGCCTCGGGGCTGGAAGAAGCGCGGCCAGCAGCCAGGCCGGTAGCAGGGAAGGAGTCTCCCATGCGGGCATAACTCCAAACAGGTGACCTGCAGGTATTTTTCCACTCTGTCAGCATACCCAAGCCAGTTGCCCTCCAGCTTGTCATAAACACTGTAATGCCAACTCTGTTGTACAACACAGCCTCTTTGCAGCATTTCAGAGGGAAGAAGTGAGTTAGAAATCTCTTTCCGTGGTGTAATGCCTCCAAATTCGCATGTCACACAAGAAGAAGGGTTTGAACGAGTTTACAAGTGCTATTTCCCCAGAGCTCATGACACTTCCCTGCTCGCAGTGCAGCATCCCACCAAAGGGACCTGATCAACATGCTGCCTGCAAAGTAGCATCTTTGGCTACTGCTGGAGGCAGCTGCTCCCCTTGCCCTGGACTACAAACCTCCCAGCCGGGCCAGCAAGCAGCACATAGTCCGTCCTTCCCTGCTGCAGGCAGCCCTCTGCAGCTAGCGCAGCTGAGGAGCGATGTCCGGCCTGCTGCAGCGGGAAGGAAGGCGCCATGCCTCCATCCCCAGCACGCAACGCCAGGGGAGAGCAGCCTCAGCGCTTTCCACAAATACGTAGCATTGCTGGGGGAAAAGAGAGACTGTCCCTGCAAGCAGGCGGCAGAGAAAGTGGGAGTGGTGCAGAGGCCTTGCAGTAAGCGGGAAGGGTAGCATTGAGATACTGGGTTAATTTGCTCTTAAAAAAAAAAAAGCGCAGCAGCTATTTGCAGCAGCACAGAATCAAACTGATAGAAATCTGGCTTAGTTGCTTTTGTCACTTCCCCCCCCGTCTTGCCCAGTAGTACAGGAAATATTATGAATTTAACTTAAAAGCCATTTATTTTAACTTATTCACTACTTTAATTCTCTTCCCACCTTGTAAATTCCTTCCTTCCCAGGCCATCTTTCTGCCCTTTCCAATGTCACTCTGTGCTTTTCTCTAACCTGTCACTTTGCTCTCCCCTACCCTTATCTCTCACCAGTCCTTCACACTACCCCCTCCTGATCACTTTTCACCCAGTGCCCCTTCATCTCCTAGATGCACTGGTGTGATGGTAAAGTAAAACTATCTGAATAAAGAAAATTGTCCATGAGGTTTGTCTTTTTGTCTTTTTCTTTCTGACGTTTGCTTACACTACTTATTTTTAACTTACATAATGATATTCACAAAAGACAGAGACCTCAGGCTTGTAAGTCTGAGACAGATGGCTGCCTTATCCCTCTGTGCGCTAAAAGCCATAGGTATGTCCATAGGCTGTTGGTACTGAACATACTTCTCTCTCTGAAGCACAAAATGAATGACAGAAATTCAATTGCATTGTTTGCAGTAATCTTCATTTAAGTTTATTTTTAAATTGGCCACAATTTCCCACCTGCCACAAAGCTTTTCATCACAAATACGGTGTTTCACTACAGAATTTTAGGTGCTGTGTGTCTGCCCAAACCCGACTCCTCTCTGCTGAGGCAGAGTGACAGACCATACTTAACTGCAGAGAGCAATTATAGCACCAAAGAGAAATCCTACTTTTAAACTGATGAAAGCAGCAAGGATGTCATATGTCAGTGATTCCTACTGTCTAATGATTATAGCTTCCTCAACAGGCACAGTAAGAAAAACTTCTAGCCTTTCATTTGCTTCCTCTTGGTCAAGCCATTTTCTCCAAGGTTTTCTTGCAATTTATTTTCTCATCTGTCTTAGAGACTCTCTTGTAGGTTTTTTTTGTGTGTTGTTTTTTTTTTTCTTTAACTAACTTTGCATGTTGCACTAAAAATGAGAGGTTGAAATATCAGGAAGTAGAAAGGGATTAAACCTCCAAAACAAGATTTGGGGAGACGCGTCTCAGACGTTGAAGACTGAAAAGTCTTACATGCAAATTGAAATTTATTGGGCTCATCTCTGCAGGTACTAGTTGGCCGTTCACCTACAAATATAAAAATGTCTTGTGGAAAGCATTCATCTCAATGTTTCCATCTAGCCAAGATGGTTTTGCACTCAAAGCTGAACTGCAGCAGATGAAAAGTGAGATTTAAAGAAGAGAAGTAGAAAGTGAACATAAAAGTTGTCATACAGCCTTCGGCAGGAATGTAATCTGAGCCTTCACTGACCTTATATTACTGTTAAAAATGGAACAGACAAGGATCTACAGAAGAGACCTCCGTTACATGAGAGATTGCACAGGACAGGTTGTGCTGAGACGGCAGCCAGGTGCACCTTCATCCAGCTCCCTGAAGCAGCTGTAACCATCCCTGCGAGCAGGGAGCTTCGGGTCTGCAGGGCTGTGGCTCACCAAAGGTGTCTGGAAGAAATGGACTTCCAAAAAATTTTTCTTTTTTAATTAAAAAATAAATAATCAATGATCATCCTGGTTAAATGGTCTGATCACATCTGCTGATACTAGCAACTTATCCATTGCTTGGACAGTGGCAGTTGTTTAACTAAGGAACTTGACTTCTACTCACAATTTTGTGTTGTCCTTAGTGGGAGATGCCTTCCTACCAGATGAAGTTGGCAAGGAACTCCCTCCAACCTCTTTTCAGTATCAAAGAGAAAGGCACAGAGCAGTGGGACGTGTGGACCTCTATTCCACATCCTTGAGCCTCACAGTACTACCCTGAACTACCCAAGTAAAGCTTTAAGAGGCAATTTAAAAAAAAAAAAATCAGCGTAGTGGTCCAAAACTGGTGTGCAGTTTCCAGGAGTTCCTCCTCTAATTTCCAAATAATCTTCTACATAACAAATCAAAGACTAGGGCTTAATTCACATATGCAAGCTTTACTTGAGATTACAATATAGGACATAAATCTCTGGGATCTTTACTTAACACTTGTGAGTACATTTTTACGGCCAAGAGGACATCATCTTTCACTAAAAGTGACCGAATACTAGAAAAGAAATGCACACACATCCGCATGACCAAAAGCTCCCCAAATCTTTACAGATCTGAGACCAAGCTCTTCTACTCCCAAATATTTTAATGGGAGTTTCTAAACAAACACTTGTAGTGTATATTAACTAAACAACAACACAGAATCTCAAACAGTTCATTGTTTCCCACAGTCCGAGAGGTAAAGAACATAGAGAAAAGTAATCTGAATTAAACTTCTGCCTTCAGAAGCAGAATGCACACATATTTTGAATCAATAAGAGAACACTGTTTCCTTTTATAATGATAGAAATTCATTGTGCATTAGAAGAAAAATATTCCAGATATTCACAGCAGCCTGCAGGAGGATTTAGAAGACCGATAACGAGCTCTTATGTGCTGCTGCGTGACTGAAGCTCGATTCCAACACCATGACTTTGTTGCTTCTAGAGTATCATGCAGAACACTATTTATATACCAAGCACAGGCCAAATTACTGAATCTTAGCTGCATATATACAACATAACTTACATGTATTTTTTGTCTGGAGATAATGAGGAAGCTTTGCATTTCAGAATACAAGGGGGAAAGATGTCGTTGGTAATGCTTAAGCTACCAAAATGTACTGATTGATCAAAACCAATCACCAGGTGGAAAAGCACTTAAAAACATCTCTCAAAGAGCAAATATCCTGAAACAACTCAAGAATGGAAGTGGAATAGAAAGAAGCTGAAAACCTGCACGTGTCAAGAGAATGGCATATAAGGAGAGGGAAGTTGTTACATTTTAAGTACCAATGCAGAATATCCAGCAAGCACGAATTTTCAGGCACAAGCCAAGAACACACTGCGCTGGAGAGACCAAAGATAGATGATCGCACAGTGGCTGACTGATGTCAGAGGAGGTATGAAGGTTGGAAAGACTGCATTTTTGTTTCCTACACTGTTTCAGAAACCAGCAGCTCGTGTAGCACATCTACTGTGCAGAATGCTGCAGCTGTACGTCGTTCACTATACTTAAGTTTTTTGTGTCTGCCCACCACTCGGTCCTTAAACCTGCACTCCCCCTGACAATCTCCACAGCTCCACTGCTGATATGCCCAAACTGCCCATCTTCAAGATCATAAACCTTTTTTAATCTCCACTATCATAACAGTGCCAGCACCCACCTGCACACCTTCTGGTATCATAGTCTAAAATAAAGTGTCTGTTATTAGGACTGGAAACATCTGACAAATGTGTCTGTAAATCACAATGCACATATTACATGAAACGAACCAAAGGAGCACGAAGAAAGAATAGTTTCCAAACAAAGCAACTTTACTAGCTTACTTGCATGGTAAAATGCGAACAACATCGTTCTGCTTGTAACTCTCAATGCAGACAGCACAATGATCAAAGTCTGGGTCTGTTTCCTAAAATGAATAGAATGAAAATTCAAGTCAAGAGTCGAGGCTATGACAAATGTAAAAGTAGTTGTGACTAGTACATGAATTGCATTGTGCCAAGTGGCTGTTACTAAGAAGATACAAAACCAATGACTAGGTTGTTACATTCCAACATGACTTGAGAAGGAAAAGTATCTCATAGGTACAAAACTTCCCCCTCATTTGGAGCTGGTAAATGATCATTTGAAACATAGGCAAGGGCCTAAGATGATTCTAACATTCAGTTGAATCACTATAAAATATAGTGGTGATTTTTCTAGAGGCTTTACTTCAGATTGGAGCTAAAACTTTATTTTATTCAGGGTTTCTTTTGGCAGGATAAGAATCCTGGAATTCCCTTTTATAGCCAAAACCAGCAATTTCAGAGTAGTCCCATATTTGTCTGTTGCTTACTTGCAGCATTATCATCATTCTTATCCAGACATGAAGATGAGGATCACTGACTGGCTCCTCTCATTCTCCATTTTCCAGAAGTTAAATTTTTATTTTTTTTTACTTTTTTTTTTTTTAAACATGAAATTTAAAATTTCTCATTAAAAAGGGCTGACTTCACTTGGATGTAGACATGGCATCAGCAATGTATATTTAAAATGTTTGGGCCTGTGACACAAAAGCAGACTGTGCCTTCTTTTAGTTCAAGTTCATTATTCTTTTCGATGCCAGCAAGCTACCAGCAAGCCACCGAGACAGGAACCCCACAAGACAATAGCCACTCCCCGGTCAGCACCAGTCCGTGCTGCATGCAGAGGATCCCGTGGGCTGCTCCGATGAAGGACAGGTTTGCTCCTACCCTCTGTTCACCTGCGTGTGCATCTCACGCTGTCGGTCCTGCAACCTACACGTCACTTATTGGTTTTGAATTTATGATGTCAAGATGACAGCATCTTTTCTTTTAATATGGAAAAATTCCCGCTATCTATATGTACTCCCATACCCACAGAAAAGATTTAGGGTAGTAGGCTGTCTTGAAATAAAACTACACAAGACGGGAGAAAAAAGCAGAAAGACATTTTTTCTGCCTTCTCTCTGGAAGCAAATTTTTCCATCACTTCCCAATCTTCCATTGCTGATAGAGTTGATAAGAAGGATAAAAAGAAATCGCAATAAAAAGGCCCAAGGAAATCATCTTCTCTTAAAAAAAAAAATCAAATCATAGCCAGAATTCCTTTGCCTTTTGCAAATTAAAGAGCAAAAATTAAGCGACTGTTTTTTCCTTTCAGAATCAAAGACAAAGCAGTACTGCTCATAAGAGTGGAAAAAGTTTAGGACTTAACACACCATATATTTTAGTTTGTATACTGGCAAGAAATATTCTTGAAGTAACATTTACTATCTTTAATGAAATACCTGTTTATACTCCCCCTCAGCTTACTGGATATTCATATTTTACATAAGAGATTGTCCTTTATTACCTTTTAAATTTATTTTTACTTTACACAACTTACATACGGAATGATTCTAAGCTTACAGAATTCCATGTAAACAATGCTAGCCTTATGTCCTCCTACCAGTAACCCCCCCCCCAGCCAGCTAGCACACAAAACCACTCTCAGTCACAGCTGCCAGATGGAGTGCAAGTAGTATTTAAGCAAGAAAAACTTCTTTGAAATGTACAGACTTACAGCATACACTAATACTAAAAGTTACACAAAATACTCTGCCACAGGACGAAGTAAGCCCCCAACAAGGAAGGCAAGGTCATAAATCAGAAGCAGAAAGGAAAAACTCAGATTGTTTCCCCTGGCAAAAGTTAAGCACGATGCTCAAGTTTACCGTGTTGAAATCTTATTATTATACCTTATCACCCTTCTTTACTGTCCTGGTTGTCAATTTACCGATGGCTTTCTTGGCAGCATCTCCAAGACGACGCTAATAAAGTGACAAAGAAAAGAACACAAATTAACCCTGATAATCCAGCTTCATTACTGTCCTTTATAATGACTTATTTGGGCTCAATACTAACATTGCATTACGCTCTGTGGCAGTAGGCCAACACATAAGACAAAAAGCGTACACAGCAAAGCCCACAGTTAAGAGATTTGTCAAGAAGAAAAAAAAAATCCAACAGTTGAGCCCACAAATGCACTCGATAAGCATGGGCATAAGCCTCATGGACTGTATAAAAGTCCATAAAAGTGACCCAACATTGGTGTGACAAAACTAATCAAAGCCAGCCCACACGATAAAAGCTGAAGCAACATGCCCTCTTGATTTCTGTTACATTCTGTTCATATTGCTTTTTATTCAGTATGCTGTAGTATACTCCTTGTTCTCTGCTTAAGCTTGAATTATTACTATTTTTTTTTTTCTCCCTGAGCAGGCTGATCTTATTCTGAGACATAAGAGATCCTCTCAGTGTAACCTAGTTTCTCTCTTGCTATTACCTGAAACCACCAGGATCTCACCAAGAAAAAAAAAAATTATAGGTCATGAAATCTAAATAAGCCAATACAGACTTAAATAAAGCTGAAATGAATACTGGTTTGAAGATGAACTTCAATCTGAATGCAGAGGCCAAGCTATTTTTTTTGTTTATGCAGTTTTTATGATAACCACTGTCAGATGGAAGGAGCCGTTTCTGCAATTCAAGGGCCGATTCCTACTGCAATGCCCAGTTCCCAGCCAAGGAAGAATGGCTGTTTGCCAGCTGGTCCATGGGATCCCAGAGACGGGGCACTGAGTGGAACAGAGCTCAAGTCTTCTTGTTTCAGGAACCTGAGACATCAGGTTGGGTTTACATTGGCTGCAATAAGGGAAGTTCACGTATTCCATCCTTCACCTCCGTCTTGTACTAAGTACTCTGCCTTTGAAAGAGACGGGCTGTTTCTGAGAATGTGAACTGCACCTATCAAACCCTCCAATACAGCTTGAAACAAATGTGCATTTTTTTGTGCCCACCTCCTATACAGTTGAAAATCAAATCCTTCATAAGGTATATCCCCCGTATCATATGCTTTCTCTGCATAGAAACTGAAACTAAGAAGGCTGCTTTTATTTGAGAAAAAGACCTCAGAAGGCCACCACAATTGTGTCAAGATCACTAACTGTACCACCATTATTCTAGCATTAAATAATTTTTTTTGTGGTTCTCACAGAAGAACAGCTCTTTATTTTATATTTCTTAGAGTATGGATTTGAAAAAAAAACCAAAATCAGATAGACAGTCCCAACTACTGAAGTATACCCACGTAGGAAATGCAGCATCAGAAATAGAATGGGGATGGGGAAACTTCCTGAAGTCAGAAATCTCATCCTAACTTCAACATGCGAGAAATCGGTCAGTTAAAGCAAATCTAAATTACATGTCCTGGAACAAGCTGAGTACTTAACAACACAGAACAGACTGGCACGCTGCGGGAGCAGATAATCATTGCATAACCGAAAGTGTGATTACTAAGAGAGGAACAAGGCTGAAAAGGCATTTAACTTAAATGCTCAACACTACCAACTAAGTAACTATGGGTAGTATTTATATTTAGTTGTACTGCATATGATTGTATATGCGCTACAAGAAATCTTAAAGAAAGATTATTTTCCTATTGGAAGCGTAATATTTCTACAAAACTCATCCAAAATTTATACATGTTGTCTTATGTAAATAAATTTGCTAAACAATAATTTTCATCTCTCCCATTTAAGAGATCCATCTCTTCCATTTTCTAATTTTAACAAATACTTTTTTATGCTAACATTGGAAATGCTCAGGATTTGCTATTTTGATAAGTTAGGGCATAGGCATACAGCATATGCTTGCTTTTAAAACCCAGAACCGTCTTGATGGAAAATGTCACCACCACACACAAAAGAGTTTCATACCTCTGGTGGAAGTGCGCAAGAGTAATGATGTGAAATACCAGTATCTACTTGCACTATCTACAAAACACAACATGGTTTTGATGTTTGTTTTTTTTTAAAAAAGTGTGCCTCGACATAACTTAAAAACAAGATCATAGCCTAAAACAAGTTATTTCATCACTAACAGTACAGCCTTCTCTCTGTGAAAGCTCTCAAAGCTCTTTAAAAACAAGCTGTAGCCGTCGCCACCTTCTTATTAAAGTTTAATAAGCTCAGCTTTTTAAACCACATAAAATTTTCATCAAGTTTCTCCCGACCTTTGTAAAAATCTAAAGAAAGAAAAAAGGTCATAAGAGCCCTTTCCCCATGGAGCAACTGTTTTGAAACACGGACATTTGGAAGAAGCCTAGAACCATGTAGGGGATGCAGCAGGCACAATTTAGTATTCCATAGACATTCATTGAGCAATAGTTATATTTAAACTTTCACCACCCCAAGGGACCACACTAAGTACCGGTTACAGTGTGGTCATTTAAGAATGACATCCTTCGGAAAATCTACAGGATGCCCATGGGACCTGCAGCATCAAACACTATTTATAGAAGCTAAAAAGGAAATCCTTTGTCACAACTGAGGCTTTATAAGTTTGCATTTGTTTTAGGTTTGACAAAACAGCTTTAAAGATCCAAAGCACTGCTTCAGAGTGAGCTCCTGTGTAGTAGCTCTGATTCAGGGGGAAAGGGGACACAGTGAGTAGGTCAGCAGCTCTGTAAGTTAGCCTTGACAGAGAGATACAAAGGCAAAGAGAGCACAGCAGATTTCCTGAGGTTTACCGACCCTTCTCAATAAAAGCCAAGGCACACTATGGAGGCAGTGGGTCATTAAGCCCACGCTAGTAAAACATTTACTTCTAAAGTTTAATCCATATTTGAGTTGATGATTTGATTTAGTCAAGATCTCCGAGTCTGGCCATTCTTAATTCAGTTCTTAAACAAATTAGAGTTGAAAAAGAATGTAAAAAAGGCATACTGGACAAAATTTTAAGTAAAATACATGACCAGGAGAATCAGGCAGTCCATACCAAGTGTGATCTTGAATAAAGCTGAAAGTTCATGCAGATGGCTAAGCAGCTCTGTACCTTAGTTTTCTTACCCTAACATTCATGACAGATTATAGTTTGGAAATCCCTTTATACAACTTCTGAATTACCTTAACTCTTACTAAAGCTATCCTTAATAACATGCATAGAATTTGTAACATTAGCTCTGTGTTCCCCTACACTATACAGGTTCATTCACAACTTAACTTTCCTCCCCATTCCCAATGTACATACAGTATGTATTATTCAGCCAACATAGATTCTGTCTTCCTCTTGGACTTACACTCATTAAACCCCAAACATTTTGCTTCAATTCTATTCTTTCCTGTCATGTAATGTGATCTTGTACTGGTGCTGCTCAGGATGAAAAGTCTTTGCTACATAAAACTTGTCCAGGAACATGCTCTGCCTTGGAACAAAGAGGTTCTGAACACTAGTTTGATGGACATTCCTTAGAAATGATTTATTCTCTATTGACTCCTGTATACAGAAACATCACCTCCAGAACTTACAGGAAAAAGGAGCCCCCTTACCTGATTCCTGTCACGTGCACTTGTGTACCTGATCTTCTGGATGAAGTAAAATATTAACCATGCTGAAGAAATTATCATCAAAACAATGAATGATATTGACACAAAGACTAGAGAGCCCCGACTGAAGTTTTTTGGAGGAACGCGGGACCCCACTGCTATTGCCATCAGGACAGAGATATTCTTTTCCAAATAATTCAGGATCTCCTTAACCTTTGATTCTGTAATCATGACAGCAACAATGTCTCCAGTTCCTATAAAAAGAGAAAAATATTTAATTTATATTTAAAATTAACACGGCATGCTGCTCACAAGATTTTCCAAATGCAAAGCTGTCTGACAACTTAGAGAAGTTAATGTAAGCCATCTATGGCACAAGGAACATGCTACTGGGCACCCAACTCATGGCTTGTCCTTCAAACCCAGATTTTCAAATCAGGGCATTAACACGCAAACTGTCTGCAGCTCCACACATAGTAACAGATCTCTACCAGTGGTTACACAGTACTTCCCACATTATAATTACTGTGCGCAGCCTGAACTAGCTTTAAAAAGTACATTTATTCCAGATTTGAAGCTGTGAATACCTAAATAGGTAAACTCACAGAAAAACACTTAGTAGATGAGTTCGATGATAGAGTGGGCTTAGCATACACAGTGCTGCGTACAAGTTGCTCTGGAGAGTTAGGCAAGTTCCCCTGCATGGTTAGGAGGCTTTCACATGGCACCGAGGTTGTCAAGGACCTGCAAATCACAATTCCAGCACAGCAGCAACAAAGCCAAACTTCTACCGACATCACTTCAGACAGAAGTGAAAGTAAAGCAAGTAAGTCTAGCCGCAAAGTAGAAGAGAAATTAAAAAAACCCAAACTTGGCAGAAGTTTGAGTCCTGATTTTATCACCCATACAAAGACATGCTTGATAAGATCGCAAAGAGGCTGTCAGCTTCATCAGCTCCATTTTGAATGTGTAGCCCATCTGGTTTTCATAGTGTCCTGCCTCTGGACGACCTCCCGTCCCAAAGGGAAAATTCTTGGCACAAGGATAATAAGAGAATTAAACTGCAAGACTGCTGAAAAAGAATGACATCACCTGCAGAACAGACAGAGCACCTATGTTTTAAAAGCAGAGGCGCCATAAAAAAGATGATCTTGAACATAGGTCAGAATTGCCCTGAGTTCAAGGAAAGCAAACTTTACAGGAAAGCCAAAGCCAGAAAGAAAAAAGCCTTATGCGTGCCATTCTTATCCATCCAGATCTATTTGCTTCCTATACTAAAACCTCTTTCAAGACCTATTTTCAAAATGCTTGCAAAGTCTGCTCATCTGTGTGCTCCATCTGCTTGCTCCAATTCACATTCCCTCAGAGAGGAACTGTATAAGGCAAGGGACTTCAGCACAGAGATCTGGATTTAGAGTGGATTTAAGTTACAGAGGACCTAGTGTGGCAGTGAAGAGAGAACATGAGGTCCTATTTTAATACAAGGAATTTGTTCCAAGTCTTTTAATCAAAATCTGATTTTTAAGAAGTTATTGTATCCACAAAATGATGCAAAGACCCAGAAGAGCAGCATCTTTCAACCCAGGACACAATAAGTCACGGTGAAAGACAGAGACAGCTACATAATTTTCCAAAATGGAGGCTTTAATAGAGTTGTGTAACAGTCTTATAAGTTATCTCACTACTCTTTCACCACGCCAAATAGTAACTCTTACAGTCACTACCCTCATTTTTCAGAGCAAGTTCCCTAACACTGGTGTTGTGGATTGTGCTGACAGAACTACTCAGAAGAATCAAAGCTGATAATCTCAGAAATTAAGATTTGCACAATAATTTTAAAAATATTGCACAGCCCCAAAATAATTTTCCCCAAGAAATTTCAACTTTTCTTTATTTAAAATTGAAATGGTAGACATTCATGCCCTGTCCTGGTAACAGGGGTCTAAGTAGGAAAAGAACGTTCAGTGTTTCCTTCTGAATGAGTAATTTTGAAATAAGCATCACAGTAACTCAAAAGCTTTGAATAGCAACCAAAACCCAACACAATTAATGGATACAACTTATTTAATTACTAGTATACCACAGATTCACACAAGGTCCACTTTAGCCCAGCTCTCCAGAGACACTTCAGTTTGAGACGCACTGAGTTTGGTTTCATGCAAACCAACCAAGATATTTAATAGGCAGCAAAGCTCAGAAACTGAGTAAAAAATCCACTACTTGCTTTATTTTCAGAGGAAATCTACTTGGATTTGTCCAGTTAGGAAGAGAGCCCCTGCCCAGACTGGCAGCACTGAATTACAGGACAAAAGCCACCTTTCCTGCAAGATTCTGTATGTAGATGCAGCACACGCTCCTGCAACCCCAAAACCCTGCAGCTGAGATGGTGCAAGATCAATCAAGAGCAGATAATTTATACTGCTTGCTATTTTCCCTAGGCTTCGCTTCTGTTCTTCCTATCTAGTTCGGAGAGTGAAGACAGGTGGGGAAGGGCGCAGGGGGGACTGTATTCCCCAGAGCACACGTTCTGCTAAGCTTCCCCAGCAGGTATTTATTTGCACCGAGGAATTGTGTTAGTATCAAAATATCAGTCAGAAGCACTCAATGTAGCGTTATGACATGATTTACAGTTGTCTGCAAAGCAAAGCTGACTAAGATCTCCCGATACTAGTCCAGTTCTGTCTGAATCAAAAGCTGAAGCCTCTACCTATTCCCTGCTGCCCAGGGAATGTGACAGCGCTGACAATCTGTCGTGTGTTTTATATAAAGCCCAGCACAAAGGGAACCTCTGGCATCGCTGCAAAGTGATTTGCATTCCAAATGACTCAACTGGGAACAGCCAAAGTGCTACTGCTGCTTCTGACCCTGCAAGAGCCAAGGAGAACTGCAGAAAAGAAAAATAAATTGTGCCTGTTTAACATACCGAAGCTCAGTGGAAACTGGGACTTGGTTCATCTGTATTTTTGTCAGGGGCATCACCCTAAATAATTTTAGCAAGAGCTCCCTGTTTGAGAACAATTGGGGGCAGGAGGAGACACTGACTCATTTAGTTTAGCACCTTGAAACCTTGCTTTTCTGAAACTTAAGCAGAAAAAAAATCCTCAGGTGAACACAGAAAGACTAACAGTGTTTGTAAAAGTTAGAATATATTCTTACTACATAATCTTATGAAAAGCAATACTCTCCTCAGCCAAGAACATAGCGTCCAAAGAAAAGAAGGTGGAATGCTAACTAAAGCCAATGCACTGCACACTCAAACGTAGATGACGAGCTAGGACAGAGGGTAGGCATAAGATAAATATTGACATCTGTAAATATAAATCATTTAATTGCCATCATCCAAGCCCAGACAGCTCTTTCTAGCTTGCAATTTTACCACGTGCATGTTTAATTAGGATAGTTACACTACGCTATGTATGAAAAGGGATGAAGTTGCAATTAATCGTTAAATCTGTATAATATTACATTGGGAGAGAAGAGAGAAGGACTTAAAAGCTGAGAAGACACTAAAAACAAGAAGATGGGAAAAACAGCACCATCCAGAAGTTTCCTGTAGAGCTCGTAAGGAAACTGCTTTGTTCTCTCGCTAATCTATCCATAGCTCCCAGCAGTTCTAAAAGAGCACATTTAGAAAGTCAATAGAAAGTCATTTCAAAAATTATTAGTCTCATCAGAAGAAAAGAATTGTCTCCTTTTGTGTTTGTTTTGTTGATTCTTGACTACCAAACATTTGTCTGAAGCTCAAAATACAGACAACTACGGCCAGGATACCCAGGTAAAGACAAGCACGTTTCACAGAGCAGACTTCAGACACCTTCCATCCACCTACCGTCCCTTGGAGGATGCAGGGAACAGCAGCCTGGCAAAATGCAACTGCCAAACAGCTGATTTTTTTTTTTTTTTTTTCTAGGCTTGTCAACAGCCCAAGCAGCCGTTTGGTCAATACTCGGGGAGAAGGACAGTGAGACAATTCCTCCTGGGCATCTGAGCAACCTGGCACCGAACTGCTGCTACTGCTGCAATGCTTCGGCCACCTTCTCGCAGCTGGGGAGGGCAAAACCTGAGACCCCATCTCAAGCACGGCAAACGTTGGACCACCTGTAAGAGGCACTGAACTATTTTGATTTGATGTAACAAGGTTTGCAGAGAACTGAGAATTAAGTGAGATACTTGTAACAAAGGTTAGCACTTTTCTAATGGCTGCTATTTTCAGCTAAAGTCCTTGTAATTCTCTGTCTTCGATAGCGCCTGCTGATGCTGCAGACAGAATGGAGCAGACAGACTGCACTCATCTCACGCTTGCAAAAGAATATCGTTCTCTCTTCAAAGAGCGGAAAATATTTAATTGTAACTGAATCCTTTCATGACTTCATTCTGAAAAACCTAAACTTAACACACATTTATCCGAATAATGCTGCTGGTGGAAATTTCAGAGTACTTCCTTAAAAAGGGCAAGCAAAATCCCCACCTTCCCAGTAAAGAATGGTGCCGACACTCACTGGTAGGCTGGATTCAGGGCATGATTCAGACATGGAAATGCCCCTGCCAATTTGACTGCAATAATCAGAGCATCATAATGATAATGTAATTCGAAATAGAACCACTCATCTTCACAAACCAGAATTCTTCTATTAAAGATTCCCTAACTGTACGCTAAGCATTTTTGAACGCGTTATATCAGAAATAAAGATACAGCAACACACACTATTCAGTACCCAGGAACGGGACCAATCCTATTACTGTGAGTGACAGATTTCTTGGAATAACATTAAGTTACAGTGAAACCACTCCAACAGAATTTGGGAGCCCACAAAACATCAACAAAAACAGGAAAGCACAAATGAAGTGCTATGGTTATATATGAAGTTTTGAGAGACGAATTGCGAGTTCTGTGAAAACACCAGAAGACATCTGAGCTGCAAGGGAGCAGAGGCAGAAGCAAGAATTACCCCTACAAGGTAAGGGATTTAGCCACAGAGGATATAATCCATGGAACCCACAAGGTGAGGAGAGGGAGAGGGAAAGGGAAAAGGCATACTGAGCTGTACGCAAAGCTGCACTGCCAGAAAAGGTGGGCTTGACGAGCACAGCTTTTAAATATAAATTCCGTAGTACTTAACAACATTGGGGGAAAAAATGCACATATTATTCAGGTACCTTAAAATTTTAGTCTGATGCAAAATAGAGAAATTCATCGTGAAGAATAAGTCTTACATTCTAAAACAGGCTTTTGGAAAAGCAGACACCAAGAGGA